TTATCACTTTCTGAATCATTCAAACCTTAAGCTGCACTTCTACTGCCTTCAGAGGAGAAATTCATCATACACTCAGTTCCAGGCTGGCGGATGAGTCCTGGAGAGGCACATCTTCGCAAATATATGTGCAGAATGTACCGTCGGAACAGAACGTCAGGCTGTCCAGGGTGCAAAGCTACAGCTCCACTTTCCGAGTACCCGAACAAACGACTCGACTCAATCTGGAATGTGCACAAAACATGTTTGTGCTTCGGCATTCAAGTGCGGACAACTTGGCAATCACACAGGCGAGTAGATCGACTGAAGGGACAAATGGCCCAGCCCAGTTTGAAAATGGGGCTGCGGCGGATTGAAGATGCGCGGGTAGTCTACGCCCGCGAAGAGCACCACGTGATCCCAGCCACCCCCTGTCAATTCCAGAGTCGCTCGGAGCAAGGCAGGTCCCGCAGCATGCCAGCATGTCTGTTCAGAGCTAGCATCGCTTTGACACCCTGGCACAGTTTTCCCTGCAACATATTCAAGGGGCTTTCAAGGGGCTACTCGCCGAAACTAGCCCTTGTCACTGTTCCTGGGCGGGGGGGGGGGGGGGGGGGGGGGATGGGGAGAGTAAGCCCTTACAGGCAAAACGGATGATTGTCGGGTAGCTTTACAACCGTCTATTGCATCTGCCTTCTGGAATGCCCACTTCACAACGTTCGTAAATGCCAGGAGTGTTCCACTGATGCTTCGAAGGCCTCATTGAAGGGAGGCCTTCTCTATACCCCTTTTGCCGAGGCACGCCGTTGCAGCCAAGGCTGAGCCTGCGCAACTTCCAGAATCTACGCATCTCTACGCGGCCTCAGGAGAACGTCCCTGATGGTAAGCTTTCAGGATACTTTAATGACTGTATATTAATATGACTGACTAAGAAGAAAACATACGTGAGCGATTGCAAACGAACAAAGCTGGCCTCCACAAAGTCGATCACGCGCTGCAAGCAGGGACTACTCGAACTTTCCATCGGCGATGGGCTGGCCTTGGGATCTCTTGGGAGCACCGTCATGCACCACCGTCAGGCTGCTGTCGGGGTCTCCAGACTGCTCTGCTTGTAACTTCTAACTGTTGCACGTGACGGCGCACGTGACGTCACCCCGAACTCTGCGACACACGTCGGGCGCCAAGCACAGGTCTGAAGGAGCGTCTGAGTTGGCTTCGGGGATCTTCTCCCTTGGCACTGAAAGACGTTCCAGCATGCATCCACACAAAGCATCCATATGACTGAAACAAGAACTTTGTGATGTTGATCCTTTCAGAACGTCAAAGCGCTGCTCAAGGTGCTGAGTTTAGCACTCCAGAGATCGATGCCCCAAACTCTCCATCCTCTTGGCCACGACAAGTCCTGGGACCATGCCAACATGGTCCAGCAAACCCTTGGGTCCCAATGCAAGCTTCGAGCTGGGCCCTGTTCAACTCTTAAGGACAAAGAGCGCTCTATGTCAAAGTTCGAAACCGTGAGAGAAAAGACATCATCTGTTGTACGGCTTTGAAGAGCAAACTGGTCATGGCCTTGAAACATGATGTCGACCCTGGGTCTCAAGACGCGAGGAGAGAGCATTCAAAAACATATACTTGCTCTTCCTGGAAAATGCGTATATTGATTGAAGGCGAGACTCGCAAGGATTTGCAAGCAATGCAGGCAAAGGAATGAGAGCTTTTTTGTACCCACCCCTCGCCGCTTGCGACAAATTCCAATTCCCATATGTCTTCAGGTCTGTTCCTCTGCCAACTGGATCAGGAGCACAGCAGCGTGGGTTCGGTTCTTCTTCGGAAACCACAGAAACACGGTTCTGCACCCGGCACACTTGTACTGTGGCGACACTGCTCTGAGTACATCTGGGTACGACATGTGCGCAGTTCTTGCTCTGCAACATCCATGGGCGTTGACGAGCCTGGTGTAAACCAACCTGCAGCTGTGCATAGTGGCGTCAGTCAAACAAATTCGAACATGTTGTATACAGTTGTGTACACCTATGTTCCTGGAAAAGAGGGATACTTAAGCCTGTTTGCTATTGGGCAGCAAGGAGCAGGGCTTCGCCCTCCACCCGAATCCTGCCCAGCCCTGAGTGCAACATTATGTGCATGCGCACTTCCGGGAAACTTCACCCGTTGCGGCTCCCGTTCCTGTCGGATGGTAGTCTTTACTGGCCACCTTTTACATTTGCCTGGAAGTTTCTATTGCTGGGCTTGTGCTTGTTACCCAAGCACGCGGTTCTGGCGACAAAAGTTGACCAGCACTCTGGTTGCTTATGCCCAGGCTCACCACCGGATTCTCCCGACCCCACCAAAAGGTCTGTTTAAGCACTTTGTTTTGTTAAAAACCCTTTGTTGACCTCTTGAAATCTTTGCACATTCATACCTTTTCACAGCCAAAATAGTGGCCTGCGTCTCTGTGGAACGGGTTTGACATGTTTGCAACGACATGCGGCTCCCGTAGCAGTACTTCGGCATCGGATGCTACTAGCCTACACACTGGCTGTTGAGTTCAGGATTCGCACAAAGTGAGGCAGGCGAGTCAGTCAAGCTGTCTCTTCGTCCCATCCTCGCCAGTCTGATCCAGGCTCTGGAAGATTTCAAGGGGGATGAAGTCCACGAGCAGTTCTGCCTTTTGAGGCTGAAACATAAGTTTTGAACCCTTCTCCCACTCTCAAATCTCAAAGAGACGAACTTTTTAAAGAAGGCCGAGGGCCCGACGGAGTCGCTGAGGTAGCCACCCTTAGCCATGCTACGATTGGAAAGAGGACTGCGGGCCTTCACTGGGGCATCTCCTTGCCATCACAACTCACAGCCACACTGCAGCACTGTTGTACCTAAAATACAAAAAAGCAACCTCACAACCGGGGACTTGCAGCTTCTACGACCGCTCATCTACCCAGAAGGCTTCCTCGGCCCGGGGCTATGTGGTGCCAGTCTCCGTTCGCCAGTTTGGCTGGGTCGCACGCCGCTGTAAACCTTGAAGCTTTAGGACTTTAGGGCTCGAGCGGGGAGAAGAAGGACTACGTAGGCCAGAAATTCAACCACAGCCGGACGAGGCGCCACATGAGAACAAGAACTCTTACAGGAATGCCTTCAACATGCACAAGAGCCCATCTTCAGCACTCAAAACCCTTCCAGCATCTGGGATCCAGGCACCGCCTTCTCTGTTCTGATGATCGGACATCCACTTCTCAGGCCGAAGTCGGTCCTGGGAGAGGCAAAACAGTCATACCACGGCGTGGAAAGGTGCATGTTATTGTCATGCAGGACAAAGGCATGATTTGGCGCTCTATTGCAAAAAGCAGCCCCTTTTTATGAAGCCCAAGTAGAGAGACGCAAGCCACGTGCATGTGAAAGCTCAAAGATTGGTTGGGCTTTCGTGACCCATCAGTCTCGTTGTGAATGCCAACGATCGTTCCCTGCACGGTTCATGGCTCTTAGGTCTTGCTCCAGTACCGGCTTGCCGTTCGACGCCTGTGTACCAAATCATCAGATTAGAGGACTCGCGCCTAAGCAACATACTGCTGGGCTAAGTTTTGATTGCAGGCGCAATGGAAGAAAAGTAAGGAAATGCGCTGCCGCACCAAGCCTCTCTTGCTAAGGCAACACACCTTTGCTAGAGTTTTTTGAAACATCAAGCGATGAATAAGATTCGGGAGAACTCTGGAAAAAACTTGGCAAGCTTGTCATAACTTCCTTGTGGAACGGGATGTCTTGCTTGCAAAGTGATGGTGAATTGACTAGGGAAGTTGTGGAAAATCTGATCAGGCTTGTCGTTAGCCGCCTTTCCAGCCCAAAACATAAGGACGAGAAGGCAAAACAACCTTTGCACAGGGGAATCCTTGCCCAACGGCCCAAGGGCCCAACGGCCCTCGTAGGTGGCGTGCTGTTTGATTTTCCGACTTACCAAGCAGCCTGCAATGGCACTGGAGGAGACATGCGAGTCCCGAATGCACGTTTTCCCGAAGATCCTTCCCCCGCTATTAAGTGCTCGTGGCAGCGGGCACCAGTCCCTATCGCAACGACCTACCACCCCCTGCCACCTTGCGCCAAGCTACTCAAACAGCAAACAAGAGTGGTTGGGCTTTGGCTGTGGAGCCCTTTGGAGCTGGGTACTCAGGACAAAGCAGTCCTCCCAGCTGCACCATAGAATCTCCTGGGCAGGCGACGGGCAAGCAGCTAACACCTACAAGACAACGTGCTCAGTAATTAGTTTCGCTGCAGCTTCGCCATCTAACTTGTGAGGGCTGCAAGAGAAGCTGCAAGCTTCGCAGGCACCGGGGCTCATACAGAATCCAGGCACTGCGTGTGCGATTGACATGTGATTGAGCCTGCGGCAGCACCCAGAGAAACTGTAACAGGGAGCCCCTGTGTCATGATGACATTGCGGTCACTTGCCTCCAAGCCTTCGACATCGTACACCGCTTCTGCAAATTGCATCCACAGCCCAAACACGCAACCTGCAGCTGGGGCAGGGTCGGCCCCGAACTCAGTGACCCCCCTCCGTGTTACACGGGATTATGCAAGTGTAGAAGTGCACGCAACAGTGTACACACGTCACCGGTTTTCAGACCTTGCATTTGAGCTTGCGAAGCAACCGGTCACTTGGCCTCCATCGGAACAATGCAAGGCCTGAGTTCAGAGAACACGGTCTGCATCATCATTTCGGTGAACAGTTTCGGTGGGGCTATGTCAAGTTGTGGAGGCATGCTTGGTGTGCACGATGCGGTCTCCCACATGAAGAGTTTGGAGCACAAGTACTGGCTTCCGTTCGGTTATGATGAGGCTTCAGCCTTCAGCATCATCTATCATGCTTCAGGAGTTCAAGATAAGACTGTAAAGTGTCAGACAAGAGAACCGCAGGCCCCAGTTGGTAGAAAGCTCGTAATGAGTTTATAGTGGTGGATGCTGGAGTTTGCAAGTCTCCTGTCCGCTCTGCCGCCACGGTACTGCTCTCCGGAGATCCGGTAGGTCACCAGGATTGGCAATCAGCCTGCCATCTGAACATTCTTCCACGTCTGAGTGTGCAGGTCCATGTCACTTGATTCCACTGCATCGACATCGGTGCTCAGCCTCTGGTGATCTTGGAGGACACGGTCAGGATCTGCTTGGCATGCCTGACATGACACTTCACGACACAGCTCGGGGCTCAAGCCTTGCACAACTTGGATCAGCGCCTCAAGTCCGTGATACCAAGAGTCATCCCACAAGAAAAATGGCGCGGGGATGTAGAAGTGCGTCGCATTCCAGGGATCATCGGTTGCCAATCCTGGCAATGAGAAAAAGCCAACCATGTGCTCGTGCTTTCTCATGTTCCTGTTTTAGAAATCAGAACATATTGAGTACATGATGCCGAGCTTCGCCCGAAGGCAAGCTTGCGATGAATCGGCAAGAGAGGTGGGCGGCCATCGTGCAGTTGGGCCCGAAGCCTCCTTAGAACAGCCGCCAGCCACTACATCATGCGTGACTTGCATTGGCGACTTCATCATATAGCATCTCCTTGTGCAACGCAATCAAAGGATGAGCCCTTGTAGTCTAGTCTACTGGCAGCCTTCGAAGAAAGCAACGGGGTATGTTCATGTAGTGCTACTGGAACTCAGCGCTGAAGTCACATCTCACTGGATGAACCACTAACACGCGTCATGTCTGCTGTGAAAAAACACGGGGTTTGCAAGGCATCGCAATCAGTTGCTAAAGAGCCCCTCATTCCTAAGTTTCCCACCAATTGGGCCGGCCATCAATTTCTTGCACGGTGAAGTGCTCCACGGAGCAGGCCTCCGAGCTGGGTAGCGCAACCCCTTGAGCTGTTGGACGTATTCACTGAACAGCACTTGAAGACCGTGAACTGAACACGCCGACGGGTACCCATAACACATGTAGACCAGCTAGGCTGGGAAAACTGACATCCAAGCAACTGCTGCAAGACCAATCCAAGAAAACTAAAACAAGGGTGGCGCGGCATTAAGAAAACAAAGGAAGGACGTGGCGTACTCAACGTAGCCTTTACAGGATGCCAGCTCAAGAACCGAACTTGGTGCCTCCGACTTTGTTTCTGGCCCCCCGGCAACGCCCGCAACCTCCCTTCACCAAAGACAACCTCAAACCATCCTCGAAGCATGAGTGTAGACCCCATGCTAACAAGAAGACAGAGGACAACGCAACTTCCGCTGCGGCAAGCGAGGAACGAAAGCTTCGATCTCGTAAAAACACGTCGACCCAAATCACGCTGAGCCAAGCCAGGGACGGGAAGGCGGTACGTGTAGATGCGGACATCTGGCACACGAACTGCTGAAGCCTGCACTTGGCCCGGCATGTCGCGCATTTGATAATCAGCAAGGAAAAAGGGAAAGTCTAGCCGCACAGCCGGGCCTGGTCCACACAAGACACGACCTACTCACCAGAACACTGACTTCAAAGTTCATGATCAAGGTGCCGTGCTGAATCCAAGAACAGCTGCAAGAATGGACCAACATCTTGAACCTCCCCTCATCACAGAGATGCTGGCGAGCCACAACACCATAGGACAGAAGACCAGGAAGGAATTTGAATGCCGCTGGGATGCTCATGTAAGCAGCCTCTGAGCTTCAGAGGACATCATTGTTTGCAATAAGCTCTGAAGCCCAGTGCCTCTTCGGCACATCATCATATCCGAACACCAGCCATCTACTACAGCGTCAACAAAGTCTTCCGACACATGTGCTAGGAAGCTGCATGTGCAACTGACATTTTCCGACATTTCCGACATTTCCGACATTTCCTGAACTGAACCAGCCTTTGAATGGATCCTCAGTTGCTGTTTCGGAACTTGGTTGGACTAGCTGACTAGCATACCCTGCACTTCACCAGCGAGCCCGCAGCTTCGGCAGCCACATCCTTGTCTGCATGTCCCCCAGTACGTAAATGACCGTAAATGTGCTAACCCCACGCTGCAAGTACGTCAGTGCATGCTGGGCATGGGTGTGACATCCGGGGCGTGTGAGGCTGCAACAAAAGCTCCCTTTTCCGGCCAAGCACGCTTGAAGCAGGCTGCGCGCCTACAACGGCTCGTGGGGCGTCCAGCGGTAGAAGCGAAGCCTGGAGGAGCATGCTTGGAGACTTGGGACTGCCATGGGATGGCATGGGACAGGGAACGTCAGCGCATCACCATGTTCACCCCTGGCTTCTCAAGATTTCTCAAGAACCCAGCAATGCCGGATTGCCGCCCATAGCGAACTTTAGGCCCAAAGGAAGCGACGGATCTCGCAGCCTCGGAGGTGAGGCAAAGCGGCAGAGAGCTCACCAAATCTCTTGGCATCTTTTGGCCGTTGCCTGGTTGGCCAAATCCATGTGGAAGCCTGGCACATGGCTGCTTAAGCTTTAATTTCATGAAGTACCCAACTGATTGCAGCAGAACACAGGACCGCCAGGCATCCGGATTGAAGATCACATGGTACAGGTGTTCGAAGGCCGTGGTCAGGCCCTAATGCCAGTTCAAGTGGCATGCAGCGACTGCTTCGATTAGCCGTAACTTTGTTCGTTGCTTTTCGCGTCTCAGGGCCACAAGGCCTTCACCCTGGCTACTCCCCCCGGCTACAGGGAAGCAGCAAACCATAAAGGGAAACGCTGAGTAGCCGACCCAAAGCCCTGAAAGGAGATGCTGGGTGGCAAGCCCTAAACCCGAAAGGAGACCGCAAAATCGGAAAGGCAACGTGTCAAACCCGGGTCCTGAAAGCGAGAAGCACGAAAAACACAATGTTGGGTAGAATGCCCTAAACCCGAAAAGAACACACGATCTTAAGAAATGTCGAAATCCCAAACCCATATAAGAACTAAAGAGATGTTGGATAGCAAACCCGAAACCTGACCCCAAAGATGGGACAAACCCAAAACCCTGCTTGCTGAGCGCCCCTAAAGATTGAAAAGACATGTGTTGATGTCGGGCAGCAAACCCGAACCCCGAGCATGGAGACTCTTCTATTCTGAGAACGACCTGCTGCGTGGCTAAACCTGCAAAGGGGAACTTGGTATTGGTTGGATGTTGCAAGGTACATGTTGGGAAGGCCAGAAGCCGAAAGGGATGTGGCAAACCCAGAATCCCAGGAAATGTGGCAATTCCAAACCCCAAAAAAAAATGTTGGGTGGCAAACCCTAAGCGCTCCCTAAGCCCTCAAGGCCTACATGTGCTGGGAGGCCCGGAAACAAATGGAAGTCTCGGATGGGAACTGAAATAATGGGTGGCCAACAAAGGCAAAACCCGAAAGGGGATGTTGGGCGGCAAGCCTTAAACCCTTAAAGGGGATGTTAAGTGGCAAGCCCCAAGCCCTGGTGGCCAGCCCTAAACCTTACAAACAACAATTGGATGGCCAACCTTAAATTCATAAAGCAAATGCCGGGTGGCAAACAATACGCCCGAAAGAAGGAGACGTTGGGTGGCAAGCCCTAAACCCGAAAAGTTGGGTGGCAAGCCTGCGAGCCACAAAGGCCTAAACCTTGAAACTGAAATCCTGGGCGGCAAGCCTTAAAGCAGGAGATGTTAGGCAGCAAGCCCTAAACCCAAGATGTTAGGTGGCAAGCCTTTAAACCTTAAACAGTGACACGGTGAAAAGACATGTTGGGTGGCCCTAAACCCGAAAAGGTGACAGGGTGAGAAAACCGTATAACTACAGGGCACAGGTATTTGGCTACCTCTTCAAGGGATTCAGGCCGCTTCGAAGAATAAACAAGTGACAACTAAGCAGTTTCGACAGCTGTAATGAGAAAAACCTGAAAGTTACCAGCAAGTAAGCAAGTCACAAACTAATCTCCCCTCATGTCCTGTACATGCATACATGCATGAGTCATGAAGAGAGGCAGCGGATTCCTTGTGGAAAGCGTACAACCTGCGCTGACCCGCGCTGGAGGTGAGCTCCTCCACTCCGTGAGCAAAACCAATCGCTGCCAAGCACGGAACGGAGCCCCGAGTCCTTCCAGGAGATGAAGCTCGTGCCAGGGAGCAGGCGGTAGTTGCTGGCACCTGAAGGCTGCGACTTGGTTGGGAAACTTCGAGAGCTGGCTTTTGGGAGTACGGCTTTGATGGAGCTTACTAACCGAAACTCCGGAAAGGGTTCTGCCGCTCAGGCAGACCCAACTAATATTCACTTGTAAGGCAAGGCCTCCGGAACTAGAAAAGTCTGGACCCGCAGTAGGAACAAGGTGTCACGTTTAGTGTGTTGGCTTCATCAAAGAGTATGGCAAATTGTGCAAGAAACCAAAGGGGGGGTTCGAATATCGCTCCGGGAAGTGGATTGTGCTTTTGCGGCGGATATCCTTTTATTTCAGGTCAACCTTATCGCTGTTGCCTTGATCCATGACACGATGCAGTGTGTGGACTCAAGCTTCTTTTCATCTTGGCTACTATGTGATGCTCCGTGCGACTACAGAGTGCTTAAGAGCTCCTTGCAGGAGCTCCTTGCGAGGCTCAGGCTGCACAACGAGCGCCACGCATTTTGCCAAAACGCCTGCCATGCATGTCACAAGACATTCACCGACTGCTTTTTGGGACTGCAGGGGCAAATTTGGGGGGGGGGGGAAAAGCGATCACTACTGGAGACTTTTCGTTGCGAATCGTGATTCACCGCTGCACATTGCGACATTGAGGGCTTGCTGTGCTTGGCATTTTTCGGATATTCCACGCCACTGCTCCTCATAACATTGAAAGCTCCTGTAACTGGCATCATCAACATGGCCGGAAGCGTGCCTTTGGCCTGCTTTGCGCGGCGCGGCGGCTGGCCACGTACTGGGCAAAATCATAGCCACCATAATCGTCCTCTTCGCCAAGGAAAGAGACGCTTTGGCAGGCCGTGGCCATTGTCAACTGCTGTCCTCTGGAAGGTTTGGCGGGCGGCCGAACATAAGCTCCCAGGCCACCTCCACCCACTGACAGTACCAACCTCAGCGGATGATGAGTGTCTGGAGCCACTTCCGAAAAGACAGATGTCATGATATCTGCTGTGCGCATGGCCTGTCGGCGACCGATCTGAGTGACGCTCAAGGAAGGAATCCCCTGGCAGCAGACAACAGCATCAGGCCCCTTGCAGTCGCAAGAGATTGTCCAAGGTCCTCGGAACACGGAAGGCTTTGCCGTCGTTCCGCGCAAACCCTGCAACACGTGAAGGGCCAATAGATGGTGGTTGCCCCCCGACTTCGTCTGGTCAAGCGGTAACGTTAGTTCCCCTCGGCCCGGCCCGAGAGGCGTCTAGAACAAACGGAGCCGGATCCCTTCCCAACCCTTCCCAACCCTTCCCAACCCTTCCCAACCCTTCCCAACCCTTCCCAACCCTTCCCAACCCTTCCCAACCCTTCCCAACCCTTCCCACCCTTCCCAAACCCTGTGACCCCCGCTTGCTGAAGCCACAAATGAAATCCCTACCGCATCACCCAGCAACCCCCCACCCCACCCCAACATGTCCTGTCCAGTGCGTGTTTTGCATTCCCCTTCCAGCAAGCCTATACTTTCCAGATCCCCCAAGCTCCCTTTTGCTGCTGGTGCAAGGTTTCGAGTTTGCGGGTCGGTTACTTTCCATATCTCCAACCCGACGGTGCACCCATTGGACCGTCGAACACCGTCAACATGCGCGTGTCGCGGCTTGGGCCGGGCCGGCTGCCGAGGCGGCGCGCGCAATCGTTTACAATGAAATAGGCTAACACGCATATGACTCTCCGTCTCTCCGTGCCTCCCTGGTGGCACGCATTCGGCAGTAGGACTGGATCTCCGAGGCCACGCGGCCGGATCTGTCAGGGAAACTCAGGGAAGCGCCTGTGCCGAAGCAGACCCGGGGCTCCCGCGGATCCACGGGCCCGTTGTGACGGCGGCCCAAGTGTAGGAAGTGCAGCTCACTGGGAAACAGCCTCAACAGTCTCAACAGTCTCAACAGTTTTCAGACGGCATCCCTGATATTTTCCCACTTCGCAGGAGCACCGGAGGTCCTGAGCGCAAGAGAGTTGAGGACAGCGATGAAGGCAAAGATCTCCATGTGCTCGTAGCCGTCCGGATGGATGATGATCATGAAATCCTCAGCAGCCGCAAGAAGGACTCGGTGACCCGGTGCGCGGGGCAAAACCTCCCGAGGTCAGAACAGGAAGGTCGTCATAGTGCCTGGCCACATGGTGCAAGTTCGGGGCGACTTCACCTGTCGGAAGCTCCTGGCGGCAAAAAGGACGGCAAAGCGAGCATAAAGGGCTTTAACCTCCTGCCTCAAAGAAAGGCACAACGAAGGCACGCCTCCCAAACGAGGCTTTGACGCTTCAGCTTGCAAGCGCTTGTCGCATCTGCCGGCCCGAGCCTGAAGTACCGAGCCACGCGCAGCAGCGAAGATGGTATGCCACCATTGCGCAAGGAGTACATGGATCCTGCAAAAATCTGCAAAACCAGGGCCTGAGCTTGGTCCGACTTGGCAAAGTCACTGAGCCATGTGCCTGGAAGCTCGGCACCACTGGACAGGTCAAGCTCCACCTCCACCTTCCACCCACAGAACATCAACAACACGACGCTCGCCAAGATCTGCTCACCTTGTTCTCCAAGCTGTATGCAGCGCTGTTGGTGTCAAAGAACCCGAAGCAAACGTCGTAGATATACAGATCGAAGACCTGCTCAGGTCACAGGACCATGTCAAAGAAAATTATCAGCCGGTTGCAATAGCCCACCTTGTCCAGGGGCCGCGCCACCTCACACACCAGTCCAGGATGGAGCAACCGGTCTGGGTCTGGCAGTTCCCTTCGCCAATCCTTCAGCACCAACTTCTCCAGGGTGGCAAGGTACTTGATGTCATGAGGGTTGCAGAACGGCATGACCAGGTTGACCTCCAACAGAGATGAAGCAGGGGCAGCGCGGGCTCCTAGTACCAGGTACTGCAGTGTTTCAAGAGATCCTGTTTGATGCCAGTTGCCTACAAAAGTTGAGCAGTGCTAATCAAGCAGGCGCGCGACGAGGGTTTGACAGCTGAAGCCGTGCTGAAACTCACCGAGAACTTGGGAGCAGATCCCGGTTGATCGTGAAACAGAAGTTGCTGTCGCTGTCCATGGTAGTGCGACGGATCGCATGCTTGCCTTCGCAACTCGAAATCACTGGCATGGCAAACTCAGGGAGTTTGGACCATAACGCCCATGCTATCCGTGCACCCACTACTTTCGGCAAATGTTTCGACCACAGCCCAGACGAAAACACAAGTTTGCAGATGAAACACTTGCACCATGGTGCCCAAAGCTGCGATGTGCTATGACAAGAACCCGCTTCCACCGTCGCCTTGTCGTTGACGTTGATGCTGCTACTGTTGTTGCTTCCATTCGGACATGTGTGCGACTCCGGTGCTATTGCTCCGGGACCTGGATGAGACCTGCATCATTTATGTTTGTAAGCCTGTGCGGCATGGAGCCCTGGCTGTGTTCCATGGCCCGGTGCGAAGGCGTTGGTTTTAAATGTCACGTTCTCAACATTTCTCAACGCTTCTGTGCGGGCACGTTTTCAGGTCTTGTCCTGGCCTTGGGCAGGAGTTGATAATCGGTTTCGCTGGGGCCGTGAAGCCCAGAGTCTGCCATGCGCTGAGTTAACTGCCAGAGCCTTGAAACCGACTTTCCATCGTGCAGCAGCCAGCGATGCGGCACGCTTAGCCTCCGTGCATTGCTGTTCGGCCCTTGCGAGATGCCCGGTACCAACCGGTACAATGTTGGTGTAACGTGAGCCTGCGTTTCAATACGGTCAAAGCTGCGCCGAATGCTAGAACTCGTGACATTGAGCCAGTCCTTGGCTTGGCAAATGTTCTAAAACAGAGCGACCTTTTGCATGTCTTCGCACCGAGGCCTGCACATAACGTGCAGAAGGCGGAACACCCTCTTCCCAAGCACGATGACTGCCTGCAACCCACTTCGGGAATCGGAATCCATGCGTAAGGCACACCCATGGACAGCGCAATGCTGCAACATGCTGCAACGCAACGGAGACCAACGGAGCCTGTCGAGAGCGCGCTCGCATTGGCCCGAGCCCAGGCGAGAGCCTGGGCACTGAAGCCTGCAGAAGTTGGGGCAAGTTGTGAACTGCCTCGACCAAAGGGGCATCACCGCACCTGCCTGAAGCCTGCAGTCTCAACCAGAAAGCCTTCAAGCTCGCCAGTGTAGACCTCCCAGAATCTGCGAACTGCCTTTCATGCCAGGCGAAAGCACGACGACCTTGTCACGGCCGGCGGAGATGAGAGGCTGTCACGATCCACCTGGCTCAAACGAGGTTGGGGAACACAAAAAACTGTGAACAAGCGATGCGCTCTTAGACTCTGCCCCTGCCTCCAGCAACCTTGCCAGCACCATGGCCGGAGCACAAATCTCCAGCCCATCCACCTCAAGATGCAGCAATGAAACAATGTGACACACACAGGTGACCCGAATGCCATGCCTCAAACCGGGCCTTCCGCTGCGTCATCGCGCGCTGGATCTCCAGCATGCTGGGCAGCACGTCGCCCGTACGGTGGTAGTACTCCACCTCCGCATGAAAATGCCACTAAAGCTGCTCAGCTCTATGAGACTTCCCAGGTAACCAGCTACTAGGTGCTTCGAGTGCTCTTCGAGTGGTCTTCGACCCCTACACCCATGAAACTGCAACACCTGGCCGACCTAGCCTGAGACTACCAGATCCCGTCAAAAGGCTTCTTTAGTGAGGCTTGCGTCCTTTCAGAATCATTTTCACTGGAGCTCATCCCTACAGTCATGACCTGAGCCTCATGAGACTACCACTCTCCCCGAAGACCTTCTGATCTCTCAGCAAGAGTGCGTGTGCTCAATGCGTTCACTTCTTTTCTTCAGCACTCCAACTTGAGAGTTCGATTGTGCTATCAAAGCCCGAACAACTGCCTCCAAACCCCAAGAAGACAAAGCATCCAGTGTACACAAGACATTCTGACTGTATGAAGTAATCGCCTGTAACGAGAGAGAAGGGAACGTGCCCAACACATTCTCGGGTGATAAGCCAAAAAACACATACATACATACATACATACATACATACATACATACATACATACATACATACATACATACATACATACATACATACATACATACATACATACATACATACATACATACATACATACACACATACACACATACACACATACACACATACACACATACACACATACACACACACATACACACATACACATACACACATACACACATACACACATACACACATACACGCATGCATACATACCACAATACATACATACATACATACAAACATACAAACATACAAACATACATACATACATACATACATACATACATACATACATACATACATACATACATACATACATACATACATTCAAACATTCAAACATACAAACATACAAACATACAAACCTACAAACCTACAAACATACAAACATACAAACATACAAGCAACCTTTAAAGGGCCTCCAAAACAGATAAATTTCCAAAAATGCAAACTCTTTGCAACGCCTTCTGGGTTTTGCGACAATCTGGACCCCGTGCTTCGAGCGTTAAGAACCCAAGTGAAATGATTCTGAAGCCAGTTCTTACCTTTGACGAAGAACGGCTTTGGGGTCTGAAGCTCTAAAGATTGATCTGCAATCCTCTTTGATTCGGAACGGTCCTGAATTACTTGAATCCCCCCAAATCCGATCAGCCGCCTTAAACAAGGAAGCAGTCTGAAGTGGTCAGTGAGGCCCCTGCCAAGGCACCAAGGTCGGCTGGGTGAAGACGCGGCGCGTCGAGGGTTTCACTTTGGGTCTGCAAAAAGGTCTCCTCTCAAGGGTTCAAGCGACGACGAGGAAGAAACAAGCAGGGCACCTGCCTCAGCATGCAACCTCCAGTGGCAGCCCTTCAAGAAGGCCTCTGGGCGCGTCGTTTGCCTCATCTCATCACGACCGAAAGCAAGCAGAGAGAAGGTCCTGTGGAGTTTGGCCCTGGCCAGGCCTATCTATGACTGGCTTTGCACAGCAGCCATCCATGTGCTTCTTTTGCCTTAGCCGCAGAGATACTCACAGTCACGTGGACCGCTGTGGCTTCTCAGCTCAGCCGCGGTCGCTTTGGCCGTCCCCCAAGCAGGCGAAGCGCACAGCTCAAAGAGGCCTGAGATGAGGCCCTCAGCAAAATCAAAACCCACCCTGAAACCCAGTTCTGGTCCTAAGTTTCGGACGCAAGCCACAGCACGTCTCAGTGATGGTTGGAGAAGGCCAACAAGCAGCTTCCACCCTGAAGTCCCAAGACAAGCTCGTGCTCTGCGTGCAGCAACGCTGGAATGTCATCTGGCCTGGCAGTTCAGATGGCTATCTGATAGGGTTTTGGTTTGTTTGATCGGCCTAGCCAGCATGGTGATGTCCGGCCAAGGGAACAGCAGGAGTCTCGCAGCACCCATGGGTTCCGATAGACCACCACATCTCCTGCAGAGCACAGACAAAAATTATATGCCATTGCAACCCAACGTGTACCCTCACTTCCCTGGCCTAAGTTTCTGGGAGACATGTCACCCTTGTTGTTGTTCCAACATCGAATGTCACCTCAACAAGCAGATAACAGCAAAGCCATGTTCATGTGAATCTGGCCGAGCTAAGCACCTCGGAAGCTATACCTGTGACCTGCAGTGGTGGATGGGGCAAGGCTCCCGTCCAATTTTGAATGTGGCACTTCCGTTGCAACAGGCCTCTCAACAGCGAGACATTCCTTGGCAGAAAGAACCATGTGACAAACGGCATGGCTGATGAAATTACAGCCAAATCGACTTTAATTCGCACATGTCTGTCCAAACTAACATGTTCGGCAATGCCTTCTGCAACTGGGTGTCAAGTATGGTGGATCTGCTAGATCTGCAGCCACATAGCCACCGGCAAGCTGGACTAACCAGTTTTCGAGTACCCAAATCAGCCACGGCACCATCCTGCAAGAACCGCAATGCTTCCGGAGGGTTGCAAAATGTTGCAAACGTTCGAGGCTTCACCTCATTGATGCGCAACCTCACACGTCAGGGTTGTGCGGATAGCTGTATTTCTTACAGCCGCTTAAGTGTTACTTCTCAACTTTGTGCTTGTTGCAGTCAATGAGCTGACAGCAGACATCTGTCCAGTATGCCAGTGTTTGACACGCATCCTGAATCCTGATTCCAAATCTTTCTGAAAGTCCCCACCAATTCCACACCACATGCAACTTCTGCATTCTTGCGTGCAGAAGGTTCTAACTCTGCCTTGGGGAACGCTGCCGCATCGGCATCTGGCTGAAGCTTCAGCGGCTCCACAGCCCGACAGGAACGGCGTTTCATGCCGCCTTGCCGCTGTTGGCCCAATCTTCGTGTGCCACTGCACTTGGTGACAACTTCCTGGAACCTTAAGTGCTCCGAACTTTGCGGCTGGGGGTTGCAAGAGGACATTACAAGAGAATCGGCACCACTTGCATCGTATCACACCTCGTAATGACATGTACTGAGGCACTGCTACTCTTCACAACATCCGATAAACAAGTTACTGTAAGGCGAGACGATAGTGAATCATGCTGACGAGGGCCCTCATGTTGGAAAAATGTACGCAAGCATGGAACGGATACAGCTGCGGATCACAGTTTAGCTTCAGATGCCCACGGGAGTACCCCAAGCAGGGAAGTACGTACTTTGGCCTCGCAAACACCAAAAACTGGCAAGTCAAGCAGTATCACCTGCCAGTGGGATACGCTGTACATATCTTCAACCAAACATGACGGCCTATAACCAGATCATGCCCGCTTAATTACCAGGGGCCGATGCTGACTTGCTGCATGGTCAGGCACCTCTATTGATTTTCGTGACTGTGCTTTCATTCCCCGAAGCACTACGGTCATGAAAATCCGCCGACGGAATTGGATGGAATCCAAGGTGACGGCACTACCAGCCCCGGTTCGAACTTGTTGAAATCGTGCCATGCCTGGCCACGCCTCACCACTTGCTTTCCGGCCCAAGTCAAAGATCGAAGACCTCCGCGCGCGCAAGCTTGCACGCACGACGCAAGCAACGTACTTCCTGCAGTTTGCAGCAGTAGTTTGTAGCAGTAAATAGCTTGTAGGTTTCCGGAACTCGCCTTCTAGAAATTGTTAATTTTCAAGGCTTTGGTACAGACACGCGCACAACACACGCACAGACACGAGCACAGACAAGCACACACGGACACACTCGCACAGACACGTGCACAGACACGCACAGACGCAAAGATGCTCAAGGGGGGCTTCAAGGGGGCTTGAAGGGGGAGCGGGAAGGAGGGGCATCCTTCAAGGGGGACTTGAATGGGGGGCCGAAGGGGCCAACAAGGGAGGTGGAATTTAGAGTGAATCTGTAGTCTCTACTCTCTACTCCTCTGATCTTCGAACCATGAACCACAAGAACGAAAACAAGAAACAAAGAGGGCGGAACGTAGATTACTTCCTCTCCAATGAAACACAAGAAACGAAAACAAGAAACGAGGGGATTGAATTCGGAACAATTCTCTGCTCACTACTCCTCCAATTTTCGAACCACGAACACAAGAAAGGGGGGTGGAATTTAGAATAAGTCTCAACTCTCTGCTCCTCAATTTCTAAGGAAAGAATCCCCCTCACGTCCAGCCCTTCAAACCCCCGCTTGAAGCCCCCCCCTTCAGGCCTCCTTCAAGCTCCTTGAGGCTACCCTTCAAAACCCTTATTCGTTGACCCTGGTCCTCGTCCCTGACCTGCCACTGCAACAGGTCCCTGACAGCGCCAAATCGTGGTTTAAAATTCAAGGGCACTCACCGACGAAAGGGGTTGGGGCAGTGCTCTGCCTGCAGCTTGACCAACACAAGCCCTGCCTGCCGGGTGTGTTTTTTGACTTGTGCCTGCTCAGATCGTTCAAACCACCCCCTGACGAGTCCAAGTCCACGCGGCCCCGCTAGGTTGCAGATTGCGTTGGTGGTGAATGAGCGGCAGCACAAACTGCTCGCGGAAGGCGTCGCACCTTGGGAGGCGACGCATTTGAGCATTTTCCGGGGCAGAGCCTCGGCTAAGGTGTGGGAGGCCCTGCTCCACATACCTAGCATACGCAGGCCGGCTGCCCTGGGCCTGCCGGTGTATGACATGCCTGTCGCACCAGTGCTTGACAACCGTTGGATCCCGGGTTTCATTCAAAGCCTTTTAATTGTTCTGGTCATTGCTGCAGTGCTCAAGGGTGGTTGGCATGACGGCTGGCAGCGACTGCTGCCCGCGGAGCTCATCACCGCCCTGCGAGATGGGCATCCCAATCAGGCCCCTGCCTCCCCCGTAGCAGAGGCTGCGAAGGCTGCGAATACCTGGATCAATAGCAGTGCCCCTTTTCCCACTATGTGGTCGGACACATTTTTGCACGGAGTGGTGGAATCCCTGCGTTCGACCCCTGCGGAGGCGCCTCTTGTTAGGATGTGGAAGGGCAAGGAGCTCACGGTTAGCTCGGACGGCGACATAGGCTTTTGAAATCCGATGATCCCACTTCGCCAAGCTCTGCGACAGCAGGTAAAACAACTTCGCTGACCGAGCTGCAGTGTCAGGAGGCAACAGGTCCTGTCGGATCTCGTCCTTGACACCGATGCAGAGGCGAATCTTGTTCACATAGGCCTCGTCTTGCAAGGCCAACCATGAACTCATCGTCTCCAGGAAGCCGTGCCAGGCTTCAATCTCTCGCATCCTGTCTCTACACACCTCTTGGTGGGCTTTTACAGGTAGCTGTGGAAGGTACTTGTCGGCACGGTTGGAAACGTATCCACCAGACGAACTTCCAGCATCCTTGGGCCTTGATGAAGAAAGAGAACTTCCTGCCGACGAAGTCGCGGCCACGAACGGGTCACTCAGTGCAGATGCCAATGCCGCTTCTGCCTTTGCTGTGGCCTCAGCAGCTGCAAGCTCTGCATCGTTCCTCTTCTGGCTTCTTGTTGTCTCTGCTGTTGCTGCATCACCCTTCTCTTCTGGAGTGTTGTCAGGAACAGGGACTTCTTCTGCAGTCAGCGGTACATGCACTGGAGAACCCTGCGGGCTTCCATGCACACATCCGCCTTACTCAGGAGCCGCCATGGTGTTGAGGTACTTAACACAGGCGCTGGAGTCACTCTCAACGCTCCGTGTGAAAGCAGAGCTCGCGCAGCTGTCTCTTTTTCACTTTGCACTTAAGCCAAAACCAGCAAGCTTCAGTTCTTGCAGCAAGCTTTCTCTAAGAGCTCAGGGCTTCAAAAAGAATTCCTTATTTTCACTCTGAAAAGCTACCGCTCGACTAGCAAGCATCCCAAATGCGAGCAAAGGAACGCATCTTCAGCGCCTTGAATTCTTTGCTGTTTCAAGCATCGTTCAATCAATTCCAAACATCCTTCGAATTAAGATGTATCAAAACTTGGTCAAAAATTGGTGCAGTCAATATGACGAAGTATCAGAAATTTGCAGCGCACTCCCAACTACAGCACAACGGCATATTTTCCTCGAAGGTGGCATGGAGCATCCGACAGTAAGCTCAAGAGGACTACAACTTGGACATCCCAAGTGAATGCGGCACATCCCGCAACCCCCCGTCCACATGTGCCCCATTCACCCAAAGACTTTCGGAAGTGCACGCGCAAGAACCTCAAGTTCCACAGCGACTCGAGGTACAGCACTGACGACCTGGCCCCGAGATGGATAGTCAGCCGGGTTGGATGCTGACGGCACACGATCTATCCAGTAGATGGTCTCAAGGGATTCTTCGCATCAAGCAAAGAAGTCGATCATTGGCACGCAAGAAGAATTGTGTCACTGTGGCCTCTGACAAAACTTCCAAAGACGCCTTCGTTGTCCGTGAACTCCAGACTGATGCTAAGCGCGAGCGCCTCAAGCTCGAAGATCTTTTTTTTTTTGGACTGACGCCTCTTTACTACATCAGTAGCACAGTAGGCCGGTCTTGTTGGGCTCGACATAACAGGTGAAACGAAGTCAGCGCGCTCAAACCACCAAACACACCACGCAACCACCCAAGAACCAAAGAAACAGAAGAAACAAAGCAAGCAAAGGCGCTGAACTACTAGGTAACCCCACGCACTCAGTACTCGAAGTCGTCGTTGAAGTCCCGGTGCAATCATACAGCACAGAGCATGCGGGGAATCGCAAATTGCGACACTGCCAGATTCTCAAAACCACCATCATGTAGCTACTGGTGCGACATCATTCGACTCGAACCGAGGTCATCACTCGATAGTCAGGATCCCGTACTCGTCGTCAAGGACAGATAACAGACCCGCAGTGGCAAAGGGATGTTACAGGTCAGACTCCCCAAAGGAGAGGAAAGACGTGCGTATGCCCCATGGTGGTCAGCCAGTGGGGACTTAACAGCAAGAACTATCAAGGCAAGACCGGCCCAGGGCACTCCATGGTGGTCAGCCAGTGGAGCAGCCCCGAGCGAAAGGTCCTCCGCTCACCCTGGCTTGCAGCTGCGCCCACCTGGATAGATGTCCGCGCACAAGCAAAGTCTCATCAGACAGCCAGAGGGGAGGCCACACACGCAAGCCCGAAAGCTCGCCGGGGTCTCGGAGACTGCAATCTGGTAGGCAATGGTCCCTCCAGAGCCCAAGCCAATAAGGTACGTCGGCAAGGAGATGTGAGGGCTCACATCACTTTTGGCAGCCTGCAAGAGCGCTAAGATCTCCATGGCATACGCAGCTTTCCTCCAGGCGGCGCCGTCAGGTAGCATCCAGGCGGGCGGAGAGCCTGCCTGCCCTGCCACAGGCCAAGCATAGGCGATGATGGCCCTCTTGAAGGCCAAGTTACTCCACAGGTGTTCGATGGCTCCTTGCCAGGGCAGTGAGTGCATATTCTCCACGTAGAAGCGCCCACAACCTGGGAGAAGCAGCACCACCGCATTGGCCTCTCCAGAGTCGATATTCGGCCGTCAGGATCCCGTACCCGTCGTCAAGGACAGATAACAGACCCGCAATGGCAAAGGGATGTGACAGGTCAGACTCCCCAAAGGAGAGGAAAGACGCGCGTATGCCCCATGGTGGTCAGCCAGTGGGGACTTAACAGCAAGAACTATCAAGGCAAGACCGGCCCAGGGCACTCCATGGTGGTCAGCCAGTGGAGCAGCCCCGAGCGAAAGGTCCTCCGCTCACCCTGGCTTGCAGCTGCGCCCACCTGGATAGATGTCCGCGCACAAGCAAAGTCTCATCAGACAGCCAGAGGGGAGGCCACACGCGCAAGCCCGAAAGCTCGCCGGGGTCGCGGAGACTGCAATCTGGTAGGCAATGGTCCCTCCAGAGCCCAAGCCAATAAGGTGCGTCGGCAAGGAGATGTGAGGGCTCACATCACTTTTGGCAGCCTGCAAGAGCGCTAAGATCTCCATGGCATACACAGCTTTCCTCCAGGCGGCGCCGTCAGGTAGCATCCAGGCGGGCGGAGAGCCTGCCTGCCCTGCCACAGGCCAAGCATAGGCGATGATGGCCCTCTTGAAGGCCAAGTTACTCCACAGGTGTTCGATGGCTCCTTGCCAGGGCAGTGAGTGCATATTCTCCACGTAGAAGCGCCCACAACCTGGGAGAAGCAGCACCACCGCATTGGCCTGTCCAGAGTCGTCATTCGGCCGAGATACCACAAAGGGGAGGGTCGCATTGCCATGACACACTGTGATCCAAGTGTTGTCTCGTCCCGCGATGAGCGGTGGGGCAACCAGTGTGGGCGGCTGCTGGGTCTCAAAGCCACGGGGTTCTTGCAGTGCCATGGTACAGAAACGGCAACCTACCCGGTCAAAGAGGGGCAGAGGAGAGGAAGACTGGGCAGTCTTACCTTGGACATAACACGATGTACAATCAAGGCAAGACCAGCCCAGAGTACTCGGAGGTCAGCCAGTGGTGCAGCCCCGAGCGAGAGGCTCTCCACTCCATTAGGCTCACCGCAGCGCCCACCCAGAAGGGTGTCCCCGTCCCGACAAGTTGCATCAACCAGCCAGAAGGGAATTAATGCGCATCAGTAGCGACCGATTCCACTGGGGGAAACACCAGTTGCACATAGCGGAGCAGTGGACCTCAGGGTTTGCCAATGTTGCACGAATCCTTCCTTCCGCAAGGCAAGAGGAGACGGCAGGGTCAACAACAAGGGCCGAGGGCTCAAGCGCCTTGAAGTTGCACACCTTACCACATTCGCCGAGGCAGGTTGGGGTGCCATGGAAACTTCCTATTACAAGCGTCCGTGCGCCCCATGGTGGTCAGCCACTGGGGACTTACAAGTGAGCACTGCAGACCAGCCCAGGGCTCCCCATGGTGGTCAGCCAGTGGGGCAGCCGCGAGCCGCAGCCAAGAGCAGCAGGCTCCCTGAAGGCTCCCAGGAAGGAAGCCATTGAGTAGCGACAGCTACCGATTCAGATCATACAGTCCAGTGGTCCCACCCATGCAGTCAGGTGGGTGTGAGGGATTATTGCCAAGGGCCCTCTCCAGTCAGGGCGTCGTGGGCGATAGCCTGCAGAGACAGTATGGGCCCGTTTTCCTGACTTTTTGGCAACCGGCTTAGTACCTTTGGCCACTTTCCAATCCTCGTCACCGGCGGCATCACGAGGCCTGACGCATACTTGTGGCAACTCCTCCTCGCTAACCCCCCACTCAGGGATGCCAGTTGGGATGGAGCCCCCTATGTGCCGTTTCATTGAGGCTTGGGCTGCATGCCACATCGTCCGGATGGCGTCCTGTATTTGCCGATATTGCACCACACCTTCGTCCCGATACTGAAAGGGGAAGGTGGTAAGCGCGGCAGCGAGGGCCGAGGGCTCGGGCTCCTTGGGAGTGCCATGGCAGTACAGCTTGAACCAGAAGCTGTTGAGTTGCTGCTTAGTCGGATGCCTGGATCTTGCGAGCCCTTTGAGGGCAGCCCAATGAGCAGTGGCAGCATCATACCACGCATTCCGGGAACGTTGGGGTCCATGCTTAGTAGGTGTTGTGCTGAGCCCTTTCCAATGCTCATCGTCAATGACCGGCAGCCGAAAAGGAGCAGCAACATCAACTTCTCGCAAGGCCGCAAGGTCAGTAGTTCGCAGTTCAGAGAAACGCCAATCGTGCACCTGCGCCTCTGGTTCGTCCGCTTCCCCTGCCAGGTCCTCCATCGATGCGGGAGACACAGGTTCCGTGCCGGAAGAGACACTGTACACATCCGGCGAGGTTTGGACCTCGTTCACACCCGTGTTTTCGCCACGGGGCGAGGCAAGTAGGCTTTCCAAGGGCAGCACACGCCGGAGGAACACAGCCATCCGTGCAGTAGTGTCGGGCCATTCCAGGTTAAAGACGGACCAAAAGTGCTCAATGTTCTGATTGGCCACCGAGGCTGCTAGGGCGAGCCTGATGGCCTCAAGAAAATGGGCAGGGGGCAACTCCGGCTTAAACTCTTGGTATTGGCGCTGCCCAAGCGTTTGTGAGCCTGCAGCGAAATTCCAAGGAATGCATTCAGGCTAGGCTGCTGAGCGAGCCTGGCTGCCTCCATATCCATGTGTTTGGCGGCCTCCGCCCATGCCTGCAAGGCCTCCTGGGACACTTGCCCACTGACCTGAGGGAGTCCGCTACTCGGGTCCACCACATACTTGGTTGTAGGGCATGTGGGCAGCCGATAAGCGCGGCCGGCAAGGAAAGCCACCATGGCCGCTGGCGGCACATTGACCTGGAGGTCAGTAATCCTGTGGTCGGATTCGGGAAAGCCCACAACAATGGGCAGTCCGGCAGTGCGCTCCAGGGGGCCTTTTTGGTGGGACTCAAATGCGAGCAGGAGCGCACCCAGCCAATAATCCGGGTCAGAGTAGCACATCATGGCCGGAAAGCTGGCGTTGATGACGCTCGGCATATCCGCCACCGCGAAGAAAAGATCCGCAATATACTGGGCAGTGGTCAGGAAACCATACCCTACCAAGGACTCCGAGAGCCTTGCTTTATCTAACTGCGGAACCGGGCATGCCAACATATTCGCAAGGTCAACATGTTGCAGTGCTCCCGACAATCGAAGGCATTGCGCAATGATGGGGTCGTAGACCTTCAGATAAGACGCCGGGAAAGTCTCAGGCAAATGAAGAAGGGTGTCTGCGATTTGTATCAACGCGTCCGAATCCTGCAGCTGGTGCGGTAAGCCATTTAACAACTCTTCATATGCACGAGCTGCTGGCAATGTGTCGTGAGATGATTCGAGTCACGCAGGCTCATGTAGGGCCTAGGCTTGACATTCTTCCCAAAGTGATGTCCTGCTTGGAGTGCGCGCCACATGAGCCCACAAACCGATGTTGTTTTGCCCTGCATTGGGGACGTATTGGCTGAAATTCTGGGATCGCGAGTGCTGCTGGGTTCGCTTGGCCCTCTCGGCTTGGATTTTGGCGGTTCCAGCGGTCCTGAGAACCGTCGTGATCCTGGGCGAGGGGCCGACTTTCCTTGCGGACATGGGCAATGGGCACCTGCCGAGCAGCGATGAGGGCCAGGCCAGGGGGAGGCACAGGGAGATCTGCGATGGGCTCTGCTGGTCCAGGTGGGTCCTTCGAGGGCTTGGCGCAAGGGGACCGGGATGCATCGACATCCCTGGCCCGCTTCGGAGATGCAGTACGTGGTGGCGGGTTCTGGGGCTCGGAGGACGACGTACTCCCGGTGGTGGGTCCCTAATGTTGCCGCTACGGCGGGGAGGGGCCGATGGGGTACCGCCTCCTCCCAACGCCAGATCGCCTCCATCGACAGGAGTCGTCATACTAGTTTCCACAGCGGTGGAACAGGCGGCCAGCTGAGGGTCCGCGGTGGTTGCCTGCGTGTCAGGGTTCCGGCACACCAGCTCCCTGGCCCTCCTGGGAGTGCCACAAGGGGTGCGGGACACATCACGACTGGGATGCGGCGGCGGGCTGACCGCAGCAGCAACAGCCGGGCAGCCTTGGGCCCAGGCCTGGTCCATGGCGTGGACCACCTCCCGCCACGAGGCGGTCCTGCCGTAGATTCGCCCGGGGCAGGAGATTGCTTTGGGCTTTGGTGTTGGCGCAACCACTTCTGAGACAACCCCCGCATCGAGGCTGGTACTACCCGCGGGCACAGGGCTGTTTCCCGGAGAGTCCACATCAATCGCAGTGTCAGAATCAAACTTGCCCGTTCGAACGGGGATCCCGGCCTTATGCTCAAAAAGCCAGGTCCGTGTGCCGAGCAGGTCCGTGTTTGGGCGGCATCCGTATAGCAAATAGGTGAGGTAAGTAGCCACCCCGTCCCCTTCCCGCACCGGTTGAAAGGGGACACAGTACACTGCACTGGGCAAGGGCTCCAGGACGAAGCCACGCGCTTGCAGACTGGCAATCGTGCCAGAGTAGGAGTTGGACGTGTAGGAGGGAGATTCCCAGCCTTCGGCCCGAAGCGTTTGGTAAAGGACCTCGCGCGTCTCTCCCCAAGTAGCCTTCAGTGCCCACGCCTGGTCCAGGGGTGGCGTACCGAAGACAACACACTAGGGGCAAACACACACACCCCTACATTCACACACTTTTCCTTCTCAAGTTGAGCCTGACGGTGTGTACTGTCTCTTCAAAGCACACTGCTCTTGAGGTGTTTCAGGGTAACTGCAACAGTTGTCACCCCCCTCAGACGTGGTAGCCTTCAAAGCTTACCATGTCTGGACTGCAAAAGAGGATCCTGGTGACCCTTTCGCAAAGTGCTCGCACGTGTGCGCAAGCCTTTGCAACTTTTCCTCAAACCTAAAACCTTCGTTCGAAGGTTTCTCAAAAGTCGCAAGAGCTTCACTCCTGCTCCCTGTTGCAAGTTTCTACCTACTGTAGTGGACCAACAGGTTTAGTCCAAAGGCTTGTCACTCAGCTGTACACATCCTAAACCCATCCTAAACCCTCTTCGAAGGTTTATATGCATGTCTTATGCATCTTTCTCACTCTTCTCATCTTCCATGCTCAAAACTGTCCAACTCTGCAGGAAAAACCATGCGGTTCAGCCCAAACTCTCAAAAGCGCACGTCTGGAAACGCAGGCGCAGCTACAATTGGTGTCCTTCTTCTTTGCACTCCACCGTCACGCGAACTTTCACGACCGTTGTCTCATCCAACAGAGATTTTGACGAACTTGAGCTGCTGGACTCTTGACCCCAACGTGGCTGCACAAAACCCCCCTATGATCATGACAATGAAAATGCTGATCACAAAGAGCACAATCGTTGCATTGTTCTCGGACTGCTCACCAATCCCGGAGCCCATTGCTACAGGAGCTAAATAGCTAGCAAGCAGAACTCTCAAGATGTTGTTTTGCTGGCCTTGCTTGATCGCTGCAGAGACTAAGTACTCCTTCACTTCCTTCCCCCCTGCCAAAACGCCCGTCTCATTGTCAACGTACCCCATCAAGCCCAGGAGGAAAAGGATTCGCTTCTTTGAATGAGGTTTTGTCCCCAGGTCCGACGGACATGCGTACGTAGAAATTGGTCTTGTCAAAACGTGCCCCGAACGATTCTCTTTCTGAAGCCACAAATAAGACAAGTCTATGTGTCTCAGCTTGCCGGCTCCTTCTCGTGATGCCAGCGCCCGAGCCCCGGAGTTGTCCACTCTGTGCGCTAGCTTCACCTCGGATTCAAGGAATGTTTCAAGGAATTGCTTGACAAAGATGCCGTCTGCGACTCCCAACAACGAAGACATCCACTCAGCCTCTGTTGAGCTTAGGGCGTAGGACTTTTGGAGCCTGGTGGACACGAAAACCATGTTGCCGTTCAAGTAGAGAGAATAGCTTGACACACTCTTGCGCCCAAACATCCTTGAACCCCAATCTGAGTCCGTGATCACTTCTAAGACATGTCCTGTACCAAAACTGCATTCTCCTTCATGTTCATGTTCAACGTCATGCTCACACCTACTGAAGCTTCCACGCTCGCTAACGGGATCTCTGGTGCATTCAGTGTCACACTCTCGAAGCCGCTGTTCCAATGTCCTGCCAGGGCGTGTGAGCTTCAACTGGAGTACCCACTCAGGTCTCCCCTTCATGTACTTGCCCACATGTCGCATGATCGCAAGGTCATACTCACTCGGACTTGCACATCTGGATCCAAGGAGTCTCATGGCAAAATGGATCTCTGGAATATCATTGGCCATGTAGAGCAAAAGACCCAAAGCGCTTCTGAACGTGCTGTACGCAGAACCTTCTAAAGGCGGGTCTTCTTGAGGATACCTTATGGTTGAGGGAAGTGGTGTCGCTTTGCTCGCGCTGCGCTCAAGTTGCAGGATTGAGATCAACTTCTCCACGTACCTCTTCTCTGGGATCACCCTGATGCTGCCATCCTTCCCTTGAAACAAACGCTTCAAGAAATGTCCTTGTCCTCCAAACGGATCTATCGGTCCTTCTATCTTGAGCTTAAGGCCCGACTTCTTCAAGTTGCCCAGCAGTTTGCTCGCCCTCTTCTCGCCTGAGACAAACTGAAAATCATCTACGTGTGTTGAACACGCAAGGGATTTTGGTTCATAATACACTGCTGGTGCTGCAGGATACGATGTCAAGCCATCTTTCGCGAAAATCGCCCCTGCATACATGAACCAATCTCTCGCCCCACTACGCTGTCCGGGAAGATTGTATTTGAGTTCATAGGAGAGTCCTGTTGAGGTAGTGATGTATGTAGGTCTCCTCTGTGGTACCATAAGGTAAGCATCGGAAACATCAACCATGTACATGACGAGGTTCTCCCCACTCACACACAAGCCCGCTAGCAACTTCTGGAGGATCCCAAGGCTCGCTGGAGCATACAGGTCTTCAAGGGCCGGTTGAAGGTGTCTAAACTCCTTCGCCACCAAACGCGATCTCCTTCGCCACTCCCCCCTGAACCTCCAGTCGCGCACCGTCTTCGACTTTAAACACACCATGCCCTTACCATCTTCTTCACGTTGCATGGGTCTCAGGACTCCCATCTTCTCCAACCTGGTATACTCAACGTCATCCATCCTTCTGTCCAACTCTTCCAGTTCTTGCTGGCTTAGTTGAGGAGGACCCTCTTCATACGTTCTACCCTTCCAAGGCAATTCTTCGTGATCCTCAACGCTTTGCCCCTCAAGCCCCTTCTCGTAGTCCTGCTCCATGCTCTCGATTGGTAGGTCCACCTCTAAACCCTCTATCTCGATTTCATCTTCGTGGTTTGTAGGGTGACTGGTGCCCACGACTCTTCTAAGCATGTATCCCTCAAGCTCTACCACCTGACTCGCATTCTCCATTTCGGCATCAGGAAGCATCTCAGGTGAATCCGTGCTCATCACTGAACCGCCTTCAGGAGTAATTCCACCTCCTATCCCTCCTGCGGGTTCACCAGCCACCGACGAAGGTGGGTCACTCGCTGCTTCATCTTGAGGCGCTTGGGGAAGCAACACATCCGGTACTCTGATTCTGGGCGCTCTTTTGGGCTTGGTCGGGACAACATCCAACACGGAGTTCCACGGCACACCCTTCATGCTCACAAGGTTTTCAGTCACATACGTTGTGGAACCCCTCCGTACCGACCTTGCATAGTGTACTCCATGCTGATCCGCCACCAGGTTTAAGTTTCCCATGGAAGACTTTCCCAACCACACGCATTGCTTTGGCATTCGTTTTCGGAAGGATTTGGGCAAACACTGTTGCGCCAAACGGGCACAACTTCCCAGCATACGCTCTACCATGGAGGAGTTCAAACGGGGTCTGGCCGCAACGAAGAACATGAAATCTGGAATACAGGAACGCACCGTGACGAAAGGCCCAATAGAACAGAGGGTGGTTCGAAGTCACCTTCCATCCTGTCTTTTCTTCTATCGAAGCCAACAAACACTTTCCCATCGATCTCACTATGGTAATGAAGCGCTCAGCTTTCAACCCATGGTGCAGCTGTGAATCCGGAGGTGCCACTTCGATCTTAGTTCCCAATCCCAGCCTCGATCTGCTCGCACTCACGGTCTTGAGGAACTGGATCATGGCTGGCTCGCTGTCACCTCGGATCACTAGCTCTGAATGTCCCAGCACCGCTCCTAGCTTCACCACTTCTTCAGTCGCATTCTTCAAGTCATGAGCCGCTTTGGATTCTACTGGTACACAAAGACAGAAGTTCGTCTGCTCATCCACTACCACCATGTGTGTTGACATCGCATGCTCTTCATCACTGCCCGGCGTTTCTGTTCTACCAAACATGAAGTCGACGTGTATCACGCCTCTCTCCTTCGTCTCGGCTCCCGGGTGGTTGTCCTCCCTGCTTCTTGATGACAAGCACGCTGAGCACCAAGATGCTCGAGGGAAGTGGGTTATTTCATGAAGGTCTATGGTGGCTTGATCAGGCAGCGCCGCTTGAGGTTCCACTTGAGGCTGTCTAGCATACTCTGTCAACATCGCATCGGACGCCTGGACTGCCGCCTTGATTCGAGAATCTGCAATCTCTGCTTGCAGCCTTGCCCATAGCACTCCTTTACCACCACTCTTGCTTATGCGCATGTACTGGCACGCTGCCCGCAATGTTCTCAAAGATGAAGTTTCGAAGACCTCGATCCCATTAATGACCAACTTCTCTTCCCCAGTTTCCCTCGGAAGCACATCTGCCTCAGCAGGATGTTCGGCTCGCTCCTCAGGCCCATCAGGTGGACCACTCTCTGCAAGACCAAGTGCCTGGGATGCACCCACTTCTACTTCCATTGGTCGCTCACATCTCTCTTCTCTAGCTTCTTCTGGCGCTTCAGCTTCTCTCGCTTGACCTCGAACTTGTGGACGAGCGAGTTCCGATTGAACAGCTCCAAGTGTCTCGGGATCTACAGGGTTCTGGGACAGCAGCGTGATCATCTTCACTTTGGGGCCATAAGTCTGCAAAACCTCTCTGCCTTCCCAGATTTCGCCACTCTCGAAAACCTCATACTTTCTCTCACCCTTGTGCACCAACGTACTTCGGAATGGCCAGATGTGACTCGGATACGATCTGCCTGGGTTTACTGTGCAATCACTGGACATGCTCACATGCATTGGCTGTCCATCTCGCCTCAGCTTCCACCCAGGTGTGGCTGAGAGTCGCTCAAGGTTTTCAGGGATCTCAACAATCATCCGAACATTCGAGCTCGCATCATCTCCAGACTCGATTCTGTAGATCTTGCAACGTGTCGCTAAGGAGTTTCTGGCCCAGTGCACTGCGAACCCTTGGTTTCCTCGTGCCATTACATGACTGCCACTTGAATCTCGCTGCACTGACCAATCATTCTGAAACAACTTGCCTACGCACATCAGTGGTTGCCGAACGTTCCCAATGACCGCTCTATCCTTGAAGTAGATCTTCTTGCCATCTAGGCCCTCCATCTCAAAGATCACATTCCGTCTCGTACTGCTCGACGCGATAGTGTTACCTTGGGCGTCTCTAATGTTTGCAACACTCCCACTCTCCTCTCCAGCTTCACTCATGTTCATGGGCAGCACTGTCACATCAGCACCGCTGTCTAGGATCACCTCCTGATAGCCTACCATTTGCTCACGCACTACACGCACATGACCACAATCTTCACCATCAGAACTGCGTGGACTGTGAATGTCAAACATCAACGTGCTCGTAGATGCTAGCTCGGGCTCTGTCTCCTCTAAAGCCTCGCTCTCCAAGGTGACCATCCGGATCTCGCTGAAGTTCTCGTTCTCGCTATCCTGGCCAGAGAGGTCATAGTACTGACATGTTGGGGCACTTGGCGGAGTGTAGATCAGGAACTCACTTTCTGCTTCAATCTCTTCAATCACGGGCATAGTGTGCAACTCCAAACGGCGAACTTGGGGTATTGTTCGGGCACTTGAGGTTGTTGAGGCATTCGACGAAGCTGTTGACGCGCTAGACGAAGGAACTGAGGTACTGCTCTCACTCTCTTGCACTTGACGCACTCCGGCACGACAATCAGCTGCAATGTGTCCCATTCGCCCACACGTGTAGCATGGACCAAGCTTGCCCTTGCCTTTGTCCTTGTCCTTGCCTTTCTTTCCATTCTTCCCACTCTTGTCCTTGCCCTTGTTGTTCTTTCCCCACTGCTTGCCAGAGCCTTTGTCCCCATAGCTGCCCCAGCCTTTGTTGCCATGTTGCTGGTAATGATACTTGCCCTTGCCCTTGTCCTTGCCCTTTCTGCCCTTTTCGCCTTTGTTGCTTCTGTCCTTGCCTTGCTCCACCCTATCAACATCCATCGGCGTAGGACCCCCAGATTCTAGATACTTTGCATCTTTCTCAATCCCAACTGAACGAAGCAAATGTTCCGAAGACCCCGTGCGCATCTTCTCGTAGGTCATTGTCTCGTCCAGGTTGAGCTGCAAGTACTTCTTGACATCTCCTGGCAGGCCACTGAGGAGGGTGCTGATCTTAAGGTTGTCGTCATATGGAGCTGCAGCCACTTTGTCGTACTCTTGTACTAACCTCTCAAAGGCTAACGTGTAGTCCAATAGTGAGCCACCCTCCTTATACGCAGGGAACCGGACAAGAGCCTGAGCTAGTGCAAGTGCTCTGGGTCGTGACTGTGGTTGCAATTCGTCTGAAAGGGTTCTCCACACTCTGTAACCGTCGCGGTTCTCCACACTACGAAGAATGCGAAGGGGCCTCTGTCTCAAATATGTTGCCAAAATGGCATACAGTCTGATACTTCTAGCCTTCGTTTCGGGGGCATACGACTCAAAGCTCACGAAGCTGTCTGCAGTCTCGCACTTCTGAAATTCATTGCGATACTCCTCTTCTTGGATGTACATCCATTGTTTAAAGGTAAAGCTCCATTCACTCCACTGGCTCAATTCTTCATCGAGGCTTTTCGGCGCGAAGATCTCTGGGGCCTTCACATACTTGCTTTCAGACCAGGTATTGGGCTTTGGCTGGTTCACGCTAGCAAGCTGGGCCACTGCCGTGGCCAACTGACTCAGCACCACTGTAGGATCTAAAGCCGTAGCCGTTCCTGAAGCGCTGGGCGATGCTCCGCCACCTTGCGGAGAGGTTGGGTGCCCTTGGCTCTCCATGGCCCAAGGCTCTTCTTTCTTTCTCCTTCTTTCTTCTTCTTTTCCTTCAGAATCGCACCCTCGAGCACGATCACGGGCTGGTCAAAGGCCAGTCGACAGCAGCTAGCAGCCGGCTGCACGCCAGCAATCACACGAGGAAAACTATGAAGGCTTGTCTCCGCCTACCACAGCTACTCTTGCAGATCGGGTCCAGTCTGCACCTACTAAGGAGCCTCCCCGAGACCACAGGAATCGGTTCACAAGCTCCACTACCACAACACACTCGGGGCAAACACACACACCCCTACATTCACACACTTTTCCTTCTCAAGTTGAGCCTGACGGCGTGTACTGTCTCTTCAAAGCACCAAAGGAAAACACTGCTCTTGAGGTGTTTCAGGGTAACTGCAAAAGTTGTCAGAAGAGGTCCAGCCCAACCTTGCGCTCAACAGGCAACACAATGCTTGCCACCTTCCGTTCCCTGAAGGCTTGCTTGTGCGACTCCATTGCAATGCCAGGGCCATCCATGCTCCACAGGCTGGCTTGTGTGCGCAGGTAATCGGAGCAATCAAGGAGTCCCCCGTGGCACAAGCCGCCATTTGGAAGCATGCGCCTATTCCATCGGAGTAATGCGGCGCAACAAAGACCAGCGGCCCCAACCCCCTAGTGAAGGAGGAGGTGGCCCGGGCAAAGCCTGCCTCGCTGTTGAACAGGAAACCGGAGGCCCGACATGTGACGAAAACACAGACACCATGAGTGGGGCCAGAGGAGCAGGCGGTGGTAAAAGCGCTGAAGAAGCGTTTCAGAGCCGCAATGTGTTTCAAAGGAAGGTTCTAAAAGCTACAAGACTCCATGTGTTAGGCGGACCAGTCAACTTTTTTTTTTTGGACTGACGCCCCTTTACTACATCAGTAGCACAGTAGGCCGGTCTTGTTGGGCTCGACGTAACGGGTGAAACGAAGTCAGCGCGCGCAAACCACCAAAAACACCACACAGCCAACCCACCAAACAAAGAAACAGAAGCAACAAAACGAGCAAAAGCGCTGAACTACTGTGTCCCCACGCACTCAGTACTCGAAGTCGTCGTTGAAGAAGTCCCGGTGCAATACAGCACAGAGCATGCGGGGAGTCGCAAAATGCGACACTGCCAGATTCTCAAAACCACCATCATGTAGCTACTGGTGCGACATCATTCGGCTCGAACCAAGGTCATCACTCGATAGTCAGGATCCCGTACGTCGCTGCTGTGGCACCAGGTCCCGAAAAGGGTCGCCAGTCTTGGCTTTAGCTGCAGCTTCAGCAACCAACTTAGCAGTCTCCGCTGCCTTCTCGGCCTCGTTTCGGCGCTTCTCCTCCAAGTCCATGCGTCTCATGAGAGCAGCTATCAACTGCTGGTTCTGTTGAGTATAGACTGGTTCTGCTAACGTGGCATTTCCAACACGATGGCTTGAAACCCAGTCTCGGTTCCTCCACCGCTGGCTGTGGGCAAGGTTCCCCCTGCCTGACTGCCCGCGGGTGAAGCCTGCGCTTGAGCAGGAGTTGCTGGAGGGGACTCAGAGAAGCACTCGAGATGCTTTTGGAGCATCCTTGAAGAAGTGCGTGTTGCTCTGAGTTTGCTCTTTAAACCTTGGCCGCCGACCCCAGCACTGAAGTCCTGAGAAGCGTTAGGACGTTTGCATGTGTTCCTCCTTTGTTTAACAAAGTTGAGATGGAATTCACGAAAGTGAAGCTGCGCTGACTCTGCGAGAGACTTGCCGAACACCTCTGGTGTTTTGGCTCAAGCGTGGAGTGAAAAAGTGCTCTGCCGGTGTGAAGAGGCTTTGCTGTTTGGTCAAGCAGGCCAGACAACTACGCGACCTCAGGAAGCACCGAACCCCCTTTGCTCATCATGCACACTCCAAGCATCTCCCGTCAAGCTCAAAGCAAGAAACACTTTTAAGCCAAGCTCCAAACATGCTATGTCCATGCCTGTTTCTGCTAACACCAAACAAACGGTTCAAGCACAGCTCTCAACTCATGCAATGCAAACTCGTGGTTCATGCCACATGTGCAAGACATCCTGTCAACTGTAAAGGCACTCACAAGGGAGGTACGGGATCCTGATGGCGGAATATGCACCTGCTGCCCTGGCCAGGAGCCATCGAACACCTGTGGAGTAATTTGGCCTTCAAGCTTCTCACGTCTGGCTTCGGTGAAGGCAGGCGGAGCTCAGGTGGTGGAAACTCCAAAAGTCCTTCTTTCTGGACGCGCCAGGGTACCACCACGGCAACTTCCGACGGCCTTCAAGAGGGCCATCATCGCCTGTGCTTGGCCTGTGCCCGCCTATGCAACCTGACGGTGTCGCCTGGACGAAAGCTGTGCATACCACGGAGATCTTAGCGCTCTTGCAGGCTGCCCAAGTGATGTGAGCCCTCACATCTCCTTGCCGACGTACCTTATTGGCTTGGACCCTGGAGGGACCATTGCCGACCAGATTGCAGTCTCGGAGACCCCGGCCAGCTTTCGGGCTGCGTGTGTGGCCTTCCCTTTGGCTGTCTGATGAAACTGTGCTTGTGCGCGGACATCTGTCTAGATGGGCGCAGCTGCAAGCCAGGGTGAGAGGAGAATCTTTCGCTCGGAGCTGCTCCATTGGCTGACCACCATGGAGTGCCCTGGGCCGGTCTTACCTGGATTGTTCTTGCTGTTAAGTTCCCACTGGCTGACCACCATGGGGCACACGCACGTCTTTCCTTTGCTTTGGGGAGTCTGACCTGTACCATCCCTTTGCCAATGCGGGTCCGTTATCTGTCCTTGACGACGAGGTCGTCTTCGTCTACTTTTTTTAGTGGTGGGTCCACTCTTCAGAACCGAGCGGAGAAGTACCGACCGCCTTTGCCATTGCTGGAGCATCAAGGCATGAGCAAAGGACGCATGCGAGAAGTGGAAACATGGCATGGCTATGTGGAGACTTTGAGCTCGTGGTTGGCTTTGCAGGACGAGTCTTTCGTTCGGGAGCTTCAGCTGTGTGTGAAGGTGAAACACGAGATACTCCAGAAGGATCTCAGTGTGGAAGTTGCAGCGCGGAGCGCTAAGCTGTTTTACTACCTGACCCAAGCCCTGGCAAAGTGGGAAAGGGGTCTGGAGTTGCTACGCTCGTGCTCGAAGCGACAGGCTTTGAGTGCCTGTGGGTACGAGGCCATTCGCACCATCACACAGCAGTACAGCATAGTGTCCCGCATGGAAGCCGTCTTTGTGCGTGACCAGTGTTTGAAGTTGCAGCACACGTGCCAACATATTCGGCGGCCTACTGACCTCATTAGGCACCTTGAAGATGAGTTTTCTCGGTCTGAGGCAAAGCTGTCGAATTTCCCTGAACTTCTTCTGTCAGAGGCTGATCGGTGCAGTATCCTTTTGCAAGCGGTGAATACCGAGCTTCGTCAATACGTTGTCTTGCATGGGAAGAGCAACGACTGGAACTCATTGTGCAGCAGTCTGAAGTACTACGAAGAACAGCTTCGACTGTGTGAGGCTCCAGGTGGAACGTCTCGATCCCTCAGTGACACTTTGTGTGATTACTGCGGGAAACGGGGACACCAAGCCGAGAAATGCTGGCAGAAGCAAAGGGATGAGAAGGCCCGTGGTGGTGGCAGTCCGGACAAAGGCAAGGGCGACCATGGAAAGGATCGAAAGAAGCCTAAGGACAAAGGAAAAGGGGACCGAAACCCCAAAGGTGGGGGAACTCCCAAAGGTGGAGGAACGCCGCGGGGAGGTGGAACTCCTCGGAGCGAGCAAGGGGACACGCGGAAAGGGCAAGGAGAAGTCGAAGAAGAAGAAAGGAAAAGGGAAAGGCCGTTACTTGGGTGAGCCCGAATCGGAAGCAGACTCTGGGGAAGCCACCTTGATGGCTTTGGGTTTTTCTGGAGTGCGGGAAGCTTCGGCCGAACCTTCTCTTCCTCCTCGTGTTCTGAACGCGCCTGAAGAGGTGAAGCCGGTAGGCACCGTAGTTGGAGATTCAATGGGGGCCTTAGGCTCGAAGTTTTCTCAAAGAGGAAACCTCTCTCAGATGTGCTCGCACCTAGGGGTTAGCCCGAGGGATGTTTGGTTGGTTGATAGTGGGGCTACGTGCCACATAGTTTCCAACCAGTTTATCTCAGGATTTCGTGTGGTGAAGACACATGACAAGGCAGCCAGTCTGTTCAACGCCTCTGGAGGTTCGATCGACGTTTCGTCTGTGGTCGATATCGAAGTCTACTTCGGTGATGTTCTTCTGAGAGTCGGGGAGGTGTTGGTGGCTGATGTCGGGTTTAACGTCCTCTCTCCATGGTGTGGGGCGGAATTGGGTTGGAAGACCTATCTGTCCAAAACGGGGTCCCGAATGTACAAAGGGAACAAGAAGAGTATCAAGTTGGTTGGTCACAATCGGGCCTGGTGGGCGTTTAGTGGGGGAAAGAAGTCTAAAGCCTCCTCCAAGAAAGGGGCGGAAGGGCCTAAAGACATGGAACTTGATTCACTGAAGGACGCCGTTGTGCCAGGATCTGAGGTTCCTATCCTCTCAGGACAGCGGACCGCTCCCAGGAGCATCTTGAAGAAAGGAGGAAAGAGCCTGCATAAGGTCGATGAGCTCGATGATGAGCAGTGTGGCCGACACGCTTTGTCTTCAACTCCGTTTTCGTTTCTCCTTCGAGGGTTTAGGTCTGAGATCTTCAATCCCGAAAGTCCTCAAGAAGAGCTTGTTTTCGACAAAGATCTTAGGAAACAGCATGACATGTGTGGCTTGAATTTGATTAGGAAGCAGCATGACATGTTTGGCTTGAGCTTGCGCTTGATTTTTGAGCTTGGATTGAATTGCTTGAGCATGTTGCTTTGGAACCTTGGGAACATACATGCTTTGGAGCTTGCTTTGCGTGTGTGCGTCATGTTTTTCATGGGGTGTTTTTCGCTTATGCAAGGGATTGGAGCGCCTTTCGGAGGTGCACGAAGGAACAGATCCGGAGCTTTGAGTGTTTTGGTTCTAGTAGCCTTTTGCTTTTGTTGCTCGGAAAGCAGCAATCCGCTCCATGATGGGTGGCTCCCAAACCTCTGGGCCTGCGATAGAGGACCCAGTTGGTGGAGAGGCGAGTGTTTCGCCAATGGTGGGCCCGTCGCCGGAGGAGGCAACGGTCCAGGAGCCAATGGCGACGGTCCAGGAGCCTTCGCCTACCGACTCCGAGAATTGGGGGCATTGGCGCCCCATTGCGGCGGACCCCCGTGGATATTGGAGATTCCGATGTGCCGAGGATTACTCCGGTGGACACCACGCAGCCACCATCCATTCCGGGACAACGCCTGACCGCCTTGCATCATGCTTTGCTTTTCGATATGAGGAGGAGGATTGCGGAGGCTGCCGAGCTTGGGGTCCATTTGTACCCCGGGCCTGGGGAACCAATGCCCCAGCTTTCCCATTATTATGGGCCCCCAGCAGACCCGAGTGCCATTTACGATTCCCTCGCCATGGCCGGGACCATAGGCGAGGCCTATGTGGCGCAGCATCTGGGGTCTCCGGCGATTACTCGCCAGATCTTTGGTGGGTCTGCTACGTTGGTTCGTCCCAGCGAATATGCAGCCCCGACTCCGTGGCACTCGGTGCTTCCGCGGTTTCCGGAAGGTCCACATCCACCACAGGTACTTCCCGAACCTGTGCAAGAAGAAGGTCGCCGTCCCAAAAGATTTCGGGAGGTGGCCACCTCCACTGTGGATCAAGACTTGGCTGCAGAGGAGCGCCTCCATCTTCTTCTCCAAGGCAAAGGCCTCTTCGAATGGGGGCTGAGGCCCCACGACGTCCTGTCAGCCATGGACAGGCTGGGCGTCGCTACCAAGGGCGCTGGAGGGCGCAACGACCGCCGAGAGCGCGAATGCTCCATAAGCGCAATGGGGTATCTTCAGCGGCTCCTCATCTGCTTGCGCGCCTTTATCAATGCAAAGGCGGGGGAATGCCCGTTGTTGGCCCTTCACGAGCCGCGTCTCTTCGAGGGACCGCGCTTTACGCGGTATCGCGACGAACGTGTCGCGTGGGGCGAGCTCACTACGAGTTTGAGGCTTCGAACAGATGCTGCATTGCGGTCGAAGGAGGCCAGCAATGCCCGCAGGGCCGCGCGAGATTCGCGCCGGAGGTTGAAGCCGAAGGCCCGTGCTGGTCCTGGTGGGTCTACATCAAGCGATTCGAGCTCCACCTCCGTTTCGGCCGACGAAGACCTCCATGGCGAAGGCCCCGAAGAGGCGCTGAGATTTTGTTTGAAGTGCAGGGAGGACAATATCTCAGTCCAAGAGGCCCTTTGCCTCCCTACGCCAGAGACGGCGCCACCACCGATGGTGAAGCAAGCAGGAATGGGTGGTCGAGATCCTCCAGCTCCACCAA